TGCTGCATTTATCCTCCAGCTGCAGCTCTGTGTTGAGTTCTGTGGGGTCACCTGGGATTTCACCTCAGTATGGGGCATTATAACTCTGTGGGGTTTAGGAGGGGATCCTGCAGCCCTAAAACCTCTTTGAAAAGGATTAAAGGCTGGGAGTGCAGCTGTCCCCAAGGTGACCCCATGTCCCTTCCTGCCTTTGGGAACTGGTTGGGATCCCTTTCTCTGCAGCTCCTCCACCTGTGAGGGCCGATTTTAGGATCCACTCCAGCACTGGGGCTTTTCTACCCCATCTAACACCACTCTCTGCCCCATTCCCTGCAGGATTTAGGGATGGAATCGACCTCCCTGGATGATGTCCTCTATCGCTACGCCAGCTTCCGCAACCTGGTGGATCCCATCACCCATGACCTGATCATCAGCCTGGCCAGATACATCCACTGCCCCAAGCCGGTAGGTGCCACGCTCTCCTCGTGGTTTAGCTCAGTTTGGGTTTTGGTTCTGGGGGGATGGGACCAAGAAACCACAACATTTTCAATGCGTTGGCCGGGAAAGGGACTCAAACCCCAACATTATTGATGTAGAATGCGGGCAAGATGTCAAAGAATGAGGGATTTTTACATGGGACTTAATGGAAAGATTCATGGAGGAGAGGAGGATGGGGGTTTCCTAGATAGGATTTAATTGAAAGATTTATGGTCGAACAAGTATTAAACAAGTATTGAAGTATTAGGCTCCACTCTGTTGTTGTGTGCTTTTAAGAATGATTATAATTAATTATAATTTTGAGGTAGCAATTATAATTGTATTGAAGTTCTAGGGGTGTATTTTCTTTCCCTTTAGTTTGTTCTTWGTTGGTGCAGGTATAACTTATGTGTGATGGGACCAAGAAACCACAACATTCTCAGTGCGTTGGCCAGGAAAGGGGCTCAAACCCCAACATTATCGGTGGAAAACGTGGGCAAGGCATCAAAAAATGAGGGATTTTTAGATGGGACTTAATGGAAAGATTTATGGAGGAGAGGAGGATGATTTTATTGAGAGAAAGATTTAATTGAGAGAAAGATTCAATTGAGAGAAAGATTTATGGTCAAACAAGTATTTAAACAAGTATTGAAGTATTAGGCTCCACTCTGTTRTTGTGTGCTTTCAAGTAGAATTATTATAATTAATTATAATTTTGAGGTAGAACAGTTATAATTAATTATAATTTTAAGGCAGTGATTATAATTGTACTGAAGTTCTAGGAGTGGGTAATTTTTTTCTTTAGCTTTTTCTTTGTTGGTGTAGGTATAACTTGTGTTAAGAGTTAAAAGTAGGTTTTAATGATTATTTTTGAACAATGTCCTCACAGAGGTATAGGGGTGGAATGTCGCGGTTTTGGTCGGTCCAGTTTTTGGTGTTGGGGGAAGAAACCATGACAGAAACCTGACAGAAAATCTCCTCCTGGGAAACCGGGAATGTGGAGCTTCTTCCTGAGCGTTGGGGGAAATCCTCGAGGTGCTGCTGTGTGGAGAAAGGGATATCTGAACACGTGTCCTCTCTCCCATGGACAATTTTTCATTTCCTACCTCTCTCCAGTTCCAACCCTGTGGAAAATATTCCTGGGAACCCCAAAACCACTCCCCAAATCCCAGTGCTTGGTGCTGCTTGTGCCGTCAGCCTGCCTGTCCCCATGGCCAGGAAAAAGGGACAAAACCCCCATGTGGCAAAGGATGGACAGCCAGGACACCCCATAAACCCCACAGCCACTACGGTTTCCAATGGGAAGGAGCTGAAAATGCCAATTTTGTGCTTTCAAGGAGCAAAGGGCCCCCGTGAAAAATTCCCAGCTCCTCGTGCCMGCAGGGATGGCTGGGCCTGAATGTGGAAAATTCAAGCAGTTCCTTATTTTTCCAAAGCCACGTGGAGAATGAGTGATGGCTGTGATAGGAAGTTAGTCAGGCTTGTCTCCAGATGGAGGAGTTGTGGGATTTGGGGTCAGCTCTGGGGGAAAGGGGAAGTGGAGCCTCGGGAAAAGGCTGCTTTGGGGTTTTTTTTTAAGGATTAAGACTAAAAGGGAACAATGGTGAGGTCTGGGTGGGCTGTGCTGGGAATTTGCTGGGTTTGGGTKKRAAMKGKGKTT